ATAAAGTGAATCCACTTTTAAGTGGGGTAGAAGAAGCACTGGGCTGGGGGCCAAAGTGGGGTTTCAAGTCTCTGTCTTCTGATTCCAATCCACTGATTTCCCCTTCAGGCATGGGTGGGACTGGGTGACCTCTGAGGCCCTTTCCCGATTGACATTTTTGCCTCGATAAGTGACTCACATTTATTTGGGACTTGGCGGCACTTTCTTGACCATGGGACTGCTGTCATTTCATCCTTATCACACAGGAGGGAAGCTAGGCCTCAGAAAGGCCAAGTACTTTACCCAAAATCACACAGCTAACAAGGGGATGGTCAGGACTCAAATGAAAGCTTCTGATGGCCAGTCAAGAGTTTTTTCCAGGATGCTACATAGCTTCTCTTGTGTCTTACTTAAACCAAAGCAATGGATTTCTAGGGCATTCTTGGCAGCACCTCGGGAGGCCAGTGGAGGAGATGTTTTTAGTCCCTGCTCTGCCAGCATCCTTCATATCTTGTCTCAGATGATGTCATCATCATCCAATTAGAAATGGGAGTTAACCTGATTTGGAAACATACACACACACACACACACACACACACACACACACACACACACACCCCACCACCACCACCAGGCTCAGTTCTGCAGAAATCTCCCTAGTTCCATTGCCCTTTTACAGCAGAGCCTCACCCAGTCCCAAGGCAATGGCAATGACTCCTCTCCCTCATTGCTCTCCTCTGAGGTAGATCAATGAATAAACTCTTCCTGGGAGCCCCTCCTCAATCATTGGTGTGGGCAAGATGAGTAATCTGAGCAGATCTTGACAGCCTTACAGAGGCTTATTGCCTCTAAGTATGCTGTGAACACATTCCAGGGACCAAAGACTTCTTTGCATAAGATTTGGGCTTAAAATATTGACATTTTAACCCACCTGGCCCCACACAGGTCACCTTCCATACAGAGTCCTCTAGGGTCATAAATCTCGAGCTGGGAGGGACCTAAGAGGCCATCTAATCCAACCCCCTCATTTTATAGTTAAGGAAACTGAGTTCCAGGCAGTTTAATTGATTTGCCCCAAGTCACAAAGCCACTAAGTGTCAGAGGTAAGACTTGAAGCTAGACTTTCTGACTCCAAAGCTAGTGGTCTTTCCACTGCGTGTACCACACTGCCTCCAACAACCATGTAGTTGGTCTGACTCAGGCAGCTTCCAGTTACACCTCCTGGCCAGGTGTGGAGAACCTACCATGTCAGAGGCCACAGTTGGCAAAGAACAGGCTCCAAGTTGCATTATGATTGGGTGCCAGCAGGCAAACCTGGCTATAGTTAGCAATTCATCTGAAGAACAATCCAGGGGTTTTAGAGGACAACAAGTTCGCTATGAGTCAACTGTATGATGTGGAAACCAAAAAAGCCAATGCCATCTTGGGCTGCATTCAGGAACAAGGGGGAGCAATATTCCACTCCATCCGCACCCCATCACTTGCCATTGGCAGACCATATTGTGTTTGGATCTGGGTACCACATTTCAGGAAGGATGATGATAAGCTAAAGAGCAGCCAGGGAAAACCAACTAGGATGGCAAAAGGCCTCAAGCTGGTACCCTATTGGGATTGGTTAAAGGAACGTACAGTGTTTAGAATGGAAAAGAGAGGATATAGTGGAGGACATGGTAACTGCATTCAAGAATATGAAGGGTTATTGTGAAAAGAGGGGAGAGCCTTGTTATGCGTGGAAAAACCAGGAATAATGGAAGGAAGTTACAGAAAAGCAGATTTAGGATCAATCAAAAGAACTTGGCAGTTGGAGCTACCCAAAAATAAAGGGAGTCTCTCCAGAAGTAGTCACTTCCCCTCATTAACAGTCTTCAAGCAAAGGTGGATAGAAACTCATTGGGAATTTTGTAGAAGGGATGCTAGATCAAGCACAGAGTTGGGCTGAATGGCCGCTGAGGTCCTTTCCAATTCAGAGGCTCTGTGATTGTGTGCTCCCCAGGCTGAGCCAGCCATAATTACGCAAGTGAACCAGGAAAGCCATACCCTCTCCAGATCACAGGGCTTAGTCTCAGTAGACCCAAGAGACCTTTTCTTGTGGGCAATGGCTACACAATTGACTGGCCTGCTACTCCCAGGAGGGCTGGGTTCACGAGTAACAATGGCTAGGCAGAGTCCTCAGTACGCGACTGAGGGTAGTGACTCCAGCTCTAAGCAAGGCGGAAACATCTGGATGACTGCATTTTTTTCCATCCAGATGCTTGCTGCTGTGTCAGCCCAGCCCAGGGGGGCACATACACATCTGTTACCTTTGGGGACACTCTCAAAATGGTCTAGGTTTGTGAATGCCAGCCTTTGGACTTACGGGATATTTCCAGGGAAGGCTGCCCCATGGGTCAGATGACCACTCACACCCAGAGCCCTGATCTTCGCCTCTCAGTTGGGCTATGGCGACAGCCTCCAACCTAATCTCCTGCTTTCTGCCGTACCTTTCCAATACAACCTATGCAAGACACTAGAGAGATCTTCCCATGCTGATCTGATCATATCAGCTAAACCAGGGGTGGCGAACTTGCGGCCTTGAGGTCGAGTGTGGCCTAGGTCCTTAGGTGTGGCATTTTGACTGAGCCCAAGTTTCCCAGAACAAATCTTTTTATTAAGGGGATTTGTTCTGTGACATTTGGATTCAGTCAAAGGGCCGCACTTGAGGACCTAGAGGGCCACATGTGGCCTTGAGGATGCAGGTTCCCCATACCTGATCTAAACTCTCCAAGTCTCAATTTCCTCATCTGAAAAACAAAGGTAATAATAACACTGCTTCTCAAGAGATCAAGATCAAATGAGATATATGTATATATACATATATATATATATATATATATACATACATAATATATATATATATATATATATATATATATATATATGTTTGTGTGTGTGTATGAAATGTTTTGCAAACCTTAAAGTACCATATAAAGGTAAGCTATTATTATTCTTCAGGATCTGGTCACCCTCAACCTTATCTCATCTATGCCCCACTCTAAACCTCATTCTTCCGTCAGTTTGGGTTCATCACTATCGCTCAAGTATCCCAGGTTCATTCCCGCCTTTTCTCTCTCACTTGCACCATTCCCCCTTTCCAGGATGCCTCCTTCTCTCATCATCATTATCCAGTCTTCACCTTCTAAACTTTTAAGGAACAGCTCACCTCCTACCCTTTCCCTACCACAAAGCTTTTCCTGACCACTCCAACCTGTTAGTGATCTCTCCTATGAACCTGGCTTCTGAACTTCTCTTTTCTTCTTCTTCCTCTGTTTTGTCCCCTGGTTAGACTGTAATCCCTCTGAGGGGAGGATTCATCTCTGTATGACCAGTGGAGCCTTACATTCTATTTTGTTGTTGAGTCCTTTCAATGCTGTCTGATTCTTTGTGATCCCCTTTGGGATTTTCTTGGCAAAGATACCAGAGTAGTTTGCCATGTCCTTCTCCAGCTCATTTTTTTTAACAGATGAGGAACTGAGGCCAACAGGGTGAAGCGATTTGCCCAGAGTGACACAGCTAGGAAGTGTCTGAGGCCAGATTCTGAACTCAGAAGATAAGCCTTCCTGGTTCCAAGCCCGGTGCTCTATCCACTGCACCATCTAGCTGCCTAATCACCCCAATGCCTTTGACCAAACATGATCTTGGGGGCCCCTCCCCATCCTGGTGGCACTCATCAGGACTTGATCTATGTCAGCAGTGTCCTTCCTAATTACCATTAATATATACACGGATTCATAGCCTTATAGATTTAGTGCTGGGAAGGATCTTGGGGATCATTTCATCCAACTATTTCATTTTGCAGATAATGAAACTGAGGCCAGGAGAGGTGAATGACTCACCAGAGGTCACAAAGGCATAAATGACAAAGCCAGGGTTCAAACCAAGATCTGCTGCCTCCAAATTCATCTTTTTTTTTCCCCCTCCAGAGCCAGAAGGAATCTCATTTTGCTCAAGGAGCTCAGGGTTCTTATTTTTTCTCCCAGAAAGCTGCATTTCTACATTGAACAACTCTGTCCAATTTTCCCTCATCCACTCTCTGTGCACAGGTCATTAGAACCCTCTTTCTCCCCTGCTGGCCTCCTCCTAGGAGGCTTAAGCACAAGTGATAAAGCTGTGATGGAAACCAATACCAAGCACTTTCCCTTCGAGTCCAAATGCACCATCTCCTTACAAGTCTCCTTTCTCCCCTGGGGCTGAACTGGAGGAGTGTCCTGTCATCTCTGAAGTGCATTCATGCTCAGCATTAAGGACAGCAAGATCAAAGCCAGGAAGCCAAAAAGAATGGGAAGGCAAGACCAAAGCAAAATACCAAGGAAGCATGGTTGGGAGAAGTGAAACCTAGGAGAGACAATGTCCTTTACAGCTTGGTAATCGAAGGGAGGTCTTTGGAGCAAAAAAAAAAGATGTTCCTTCCAAGACCAGTCCCGCCCATCTGTGGATTGCACATCCATGCTGGAGTGGCCATCCAGATGGGGAAGGGACCTCATAGATCATCTAGTTCAACCTCCCGATTTGCACATAAGGAAACTGAGGCCCAAGGTAAGGAAACTGAGGGAAGCCATCTGCCCAGGGTCACATGAGTAATAAAGGGAAGACCCCAGAACTCAAACCAAAAACCAGGCATCTTTTGGAGCTAGAAGGGACCTCAGACACCCTCATTTTAAAGCAGAGGAAACTAAAGGCCAGGGACAGAACATAGTTTTTAAAGGGCCACACTGTGAACCAATGGCCAGGTCAGACATGCCAGCCCAATTGTCTTACCTCCTTCCACCCCTCCTCTGGCCCAGCACATACCAACTTCTGTGCTAATGCAGTGGGTATGACACAGACACAGACCGTTAGAGGTGGTGGTAGACAAAGGTTAAAATGACAAGTTTCTGAGGACCTAACCAAACTTGTAGAAGAGGAGCCGTTCTCAGGCCCCAGAGAAGAACAGGCGGCTTCCCATCTGGCCCTGGCTCCAGGGAAGTGTGACGGGCATCACTTACCACGTGGTAGATGCCCAGGGCCGTGGTGGCAATCCTGACATTGAAGCAGTTGCAGATGCGCTGGGTAGGGACAACTCTGAGGGCCATGATTGCTAGCTGCCCAACCTGGCAGTGGCCCCTCTGTCTGCCTGCTTGGCTTCTGACAAGGTCTGCTGAAGATGAAAGAGTCAGTCTAGACTCCAGTGCAAAGAAAAGAGAAGTCACCTCTCCACCCCACCCCACCCCACCCCCATTTCACTTCCTTCCTCTTTGGAGACCAAGGCCAGCCTGCTGAGAGAGGGTTTCAAGACAATGGGGTGTATCTCCAATCCAATTCAATTCAACTGTCCATGAAGTTCCCAAGGGCCTTCCTATTATGTGCCAGGCACTGAGCCAGGATGCTGAGACAAAAATGACACGGTTCCTTCCCTCAAGGAGTTTATATTCTATAGGGAGGAAACAAGGCATACACGGATAAGGGAATACACAAAAAACAAAGTCTTTTCAAAGGATACCAACAACTGTAAGGATCAGGAAAGGTTTCATGTGTAAAGTGGCCCTTGAGTTGAGCTTTGAAGAGAGCTAGGGGACCTAGGAGGTAAAGGTGAGGAGGAGTGAATACCAGGCATGAGTCACAACCTATGCAAAGATCTGGAGGTGAGAGATAGGGGGAAAATGTACAAGGAATCAGCAAGAGGGACAGTTTGGCTGGATTGAAAAGTGAGTAAAGGTGAGGAATGTGTGAAAAGCCCAGAAAGGTGTGCTGTGTTGTGAAACACTTTAAAAGCTAGCCAAAGGAGTTGGGCATTTTATTCCTGAGCAGAGAAGAGCTGTCATCAAAACTATGCTTTTAGGGGGGCAGCTAGGTGGTACAGTGGTTAGAGGCCCTGGATCCAGGAGGACCTGAGTTCAAATCCCACCTCAGACACATAACATTTACTAGCTGTGTAAGCCTGGGCAAGTCACTTAACCCCATTGCCTAGCAAAAAACAAACAAAAAACTATGCTTTAGGAATATCAGTCTGGCAGCTGTACAGAGCATGAATTGTCGAAAGAAGAGACTTGGGATAGAGAAAAGGGATGAATGAAAAAGCATTTATTAAGCAATTAGCACAAACCAAGCTTTGTAGTAAATGGTAGCCAGGATAGGGGAGTAGTGAGGATACAAACACCAAGACTATCCTTGCCCTCCAGGGGCTTACATTCCAGTACGGACAGACCACATGTAAAGGGCAGTAGTGACCCGGAAGGGGTATTTTTGTTTTGAAAGTTACAAGTATGGTGAATGGAGTCTAAAGGGTCAGGCCTGTGTTTCCAGTAGCAATGGCAGTATTAATTTGATCATGATTGCAGAATTGAAAAGGAGTAGGTAGGGGCAAGGAACACTAGCAGAGAGCATTGGTTGATGAAAAGATGTCCCGGGAGTACAATTAAAAACAGCTGGAACCACCTAGATATAGTGGGCCACAGGAGGCCCTCCCCATTCCATGGGAGTTCTGGAGCTAAAAGGGTGAAGTTCTCCAGAGCATGGTCTCTGGTCCCACTTCAGCTCTCCACCACCCCCACCCACCCACCCACCCAGGAGGTAGCTAGTAAGGCCACGGCCCAGGAGTTAAAAAGCAGTCTTCTTAAGGAATTATATTGGAGGAGGCTCATACTTAGCAAATCATGTTAATTCTCTCGGGGAAATGAAGTTAAATGTGAATTACCCTGAAACACAGCTCAATCTGGCAGGCCTGCCCTGGGATGCACATGGCCCAGTGAAACATGAAGGTAAGCATTCTTTTGTAATCCCAGCCCCAAAGTCCATTGGTATTGGGGGAGATCCATGTCCTGAATCTGGGTGAGAGACAGGACTGAGCTGGGGAGGTGGAAGAGCTCCTGCTCCTCAGTCTTCTTTGAATCTCTGGACTTTACCCACTTCTGGCTTCCAGCTTCAAGACTGAAGTTGGAAAGGGCCAACCTCACTTCACATTGCTGAAGGAAAAGACTCTGGGGAAAAGCCAACATGAGAGGAGCTGGTAGTCTCCATCATGTCCCCATCACTAGCTTACTACACTGGAGACCTGGGGGAACTTTCCCTTGGGTGAGATCTGGGACACTCCCTCTCTCTCTATATATATATATCTCTCTCTGTGTATCTCTCTCTCTGTCTCTGTCTTTCTGTCTCTCTCTCTCGATCTCTCTCCCTCTCTCTCTGTCTGTGTGTGTGTCTCTCTCTGTCGCTGTCTCTCTGGCTCGCTCTCTCTCTCTCTCTCTCTTCTCTCTCTCTCTCTCTCTCTCTCTCACACACACACACTCTGTGTGTGTGTGTGTGTGTATGTGTCTCTCCCTCTCTCTCTCTCACCCCCTCTCTGTTTCTGTCTCTATTGAACTGAGTTATCTCACTCCCAATTGGAGAGCTCCTTCTCTCTGTATTGTTTCATATATATGCTCCTATGTATACTTTCTCTGATTTTTTATTTGCTACTGATTTGAATGAATGTGTTTTCTTTGATAATTGCTTTATGTGTTTATTGTGGAACTGGTATTCAGAAAGAAAGGAGTCAAGCCTCAGATATGGAGCTTGGGGTCCTTCTCCTCTCTAATACTGAAACAACAATCAGAAATTAGCTTGAATCTAAAACTCACATCCCCTAGACAAATAATATTTAAGGGAGTAAACAGATTTACGTCTAGTCCAAGATCGCACTGCCTCTCTCTGAGGAGAGCAGAATGGTGACCTCTCACCCCAACTTCCTGCTTCCCCTTCTGGCAGGAATTAAATTGTCTCTTGTATAGGGTTGGGGGAGAAGAGGCTCAAGATGTCAATTCTGCCTCCCTTCAAGTTACACAGCAGCATGCCTGTGCCACATGTGAAGGACAGCCCTCACAACATGAGCCGCTCACTACACTGTAGTATCTCAGAAATCCACAGGAAGATGGATGGGGTGGGGAGCAAGGAATTGGCTGGCACTAGGACTATGGATAAGCAAAGAAGGTGGCCACCTAGCCAGTCCCCAAGCCCATTGGTAGGGGACTGTCCTTGTTGGGAGAGATCCATGTAAGGCAACCTATGCAGGGGGACACAATAAGGGACAAATGGACCCTTTTTAAAAAATAAATTCACGTCTTTAAAGCCAAAGTATTACACCAGCCATTGCCCAAAGGGATTTATTTGGTGATAAATTAAATCCCATGTGATATAAGAAATAATTATAATAAAAATAAGTCAAGATTTATAGAGTTATCCTTTCCACAACACAATTTTCCCCAACGTGGTTTTGACATATGGCTGTGGGCATAAGAAATTAAATGGAATTTTGAGGGAGTTTTGTGGAAGCCATAGATGACATACAAAGGCCAGCAGACAACATGGAAAAAGTTTAGAAACTCAGAAATACATAAAATATATGTATAGTATTGTATAATATAGCCTGTGACCAAATACTTTAACAAATTTTACAATAAGGTACTGTAAATACCCTCAAAAGAAAATGAAAAAAAAAATTCAGACTTCTTCCCTGATACAAAGGAAGGGCCAAAAAATTTTATGTGGATTTTCCAGAGCATGGGGATGCTACGCCCCTAAGCCTGCCCCCCCAACTCCATGTGGAAGGGATAACTGTGGTGCTTTAAGGCACCCGCTTTCTCATTTGAGTATCACAACTCCAGGAAGCAAGTGCTATTATCATCTGCTATTTTACAAATGAAGTCTCAGAGTTTCAAAGAGTTGTGGTAACTTGCCCCAGGCTTATGTAGGGTCAGGGAGCTGTCTGAGGTAGAATTCAAACCCACACCTCCCTAACTCCCACATTCCCTCCACTGCAGTACACTAACCTCTCCAGGGCGCAGCTTAAAGCCTTGGGTGGAAAGTAATACAGCGCAAGTGCCATTCTTGAACTTGGTAAAGCTGTAAAAATACCTTGTCCTGGCTGTGTCCAGAGAAGGCTTGGAAATAGGCTATGGAGAGTGGGGGGATCCAAGAAGGCCAGCTTGGCTGAAACACAAAAAAGGAGCAAAGAGGAGTCACGTGCAATAAGCCTGAGAGTTTGGCTGGCACCAGATGGTAAATGGCTTGAAATGCCAGACAGAGGACTTGCTCTAAAGGCAATAGAGAATCACTGAAGTTTCTTGAGGAGGCACACTAGGTGGTCCAGTAGAGATTGGATAGAGCCCTAGACCAGGAGACAGGAAGACATATGTGCAAGTGTTGTCTCCTACTAGTACTAGGTGTTTCTGGACAAGTCATTTTGCCTCTGTCCTTCTCAGTTTCCCCAGGGCTATTTGTGAGGATCAGATGAGATCATCTGTGAAAGTGCTTGGCAAACCTTAAAGCACCACATAAATCCTAGCTTTGATTATTAATCAACTAATTAATTAAGGAGGGGTATGACCGTCAGGTCTGTGCTCCTAGATTTCTGTTTTGCTACCAATTTAGACAAATACATTTCTTTACTATGGGGAGGGGGGGAGAAGAATGTCCCTTTGGTGGTTGTGTGGAAGATGGATTGGAGAGGCAAAAATACCAATTAGGAGGCTCCTGCAATAGTCCAGGCAAGAGGTGATGAAGTTCCAAACTGGGCGGTAACCAAGTTAGCAGTGGGTTAAAAGAAGATCTCAGTTCCCTAGAGGCTGTGGAAAGAGCATCGTTCCCACTGATCCCAAATAGAATTTACTCATAAATGATAAGCAACCTTGATGGGACCCGTTACCTTAGCAACCCCCTTCTTTCATTCTGTTCCTCACAACAACGTTAGGTTGAAGTGGGGAGTGCATGAATTTTGTAGCCACTTTCCAGCTGAGAAAACTGAGGCTCAGAAGCATTAAATACCTTCTTGCGTCATCTTTCTGCCTTCATGCAGCAAAATGCAGATAGACATTTAGAGAAAGGGGGAAAAGAGCCCCCAATACACCAAAGAAAAGAAATTGGGACTAGACTGTCTGCAAGCATCTTAGCCAGAGGTGGTAGAAGAATCCTGAGGGACATGCTGGGAGCACACAGTGGTTCACAGCCCTCACGCTGGAAGCACACCTACATTCACTGCCCAATGGGACACCCAGGGTAGTTCTCCTCACCAGAAAGCCCGTACTGTCATCTCTTCAATAACTGGAGACTATTCAGGCAACCAGGGAGTTTCTCTGGGGGCCCTTTTTTCTGCTTCCCCTCCCCCCCCACCGCCTCAGGCACATCTGGATCTAGAAGTCAGGAACATGAAT